CAGTTTAAGGCCTTGGCTTGGGTGTGTACACCAAAAAGTCCTTAGCTCTGATCCTGCAGATCCCATTAGCTCACAGCTCAATCACTCTGTGAGGCAGAAACTTCCTCTCCTCCAAACCTCCCTCATGAAATTCCCCTTTGACCTTCAACCCTTCCCTCCACACCCTCTTACCTTGATAATCATAGATTAAATCCCAAAGCCCTCTCACCACCTAATTCTGCCTGGTGTTGTGATTGACCCTGGTCCCTAATTACTAGGATCTATAACACTGATCCTCTAACCTCCCTGTCCCCTTCCCTATGAAAACCTTGATTCCTTAACTTAAATCACTGACCACCTCCCATGCCTCCTGACTATTTCCTCCCCATTGTCCCCATCCCCCAAACCTTGCTCTTCTAGTATGGGATGTTCTGACAACTCCCCGCCCCCTATGTCTTCCAATGTCCTCCCCTACCTCCTTTTTCTCCATATTCCCTTTTTCTTCTTTGTCTCCATCTGTCCTCCTTTTCCTGACACTTTCTTTTCCCCTGAGTTGCTCTCTTTTTCTATCTACTTTGTCTGCTTTGTCACTTCTTCTGTCACTTGGTTTCTGGATCTTTGACAATTGTGTTCTCCTCTCCATCTGATTATACCTGTCCATCTGATTCCTTGTCACTTTTCCTGGCTCCATCTCTCTCTCTTTCCCTGTCTTTCTCTTGCCCTTCTTTCTCCGTGGCCCGGGCCCCAGTTCTGAACCAGCTGGAGGAGTTGCTGAGCGACATGAAGGCAGACGTGACCCGCCTGCCAGCCACGCTGTCTCGAATACCCCCCATCGCAGCCCGCCTTCAGATGTCCGAGCGCAGCATCCTCAGCCGGCTGGCCAGCAAGGGCACGGAGCCTCACCCCACACCGGTAACCCTCTTTCCCCCTAACTCATTTTCCCTGTCGGTGCTCCTGCACACACACAAACACTTTCATCAGAATCCTATACCATATGGAAAAACAACCTGCTAGACCACAGTCTTCACCCTTCAGTGAGTCTCCCCACCTGTGTCACACCCCTTAGTAGTTCTGGAGTGTGGCTCATGTTCCTATACAGCTTCTTTCCTAAGACTGTGTACTAACTAACCTCAGCTTGCTCTCTGTTCCAGGCCTTCCCCCCGGGTCCCTACGCCACACCTCCGGGATACGGGGCGGCCTTCAGCGCCGGACCCGTAGGGGCCCTGGCCGCCGCAGGCGCCAATTACAGCCAGATGCCTGCAGGGTCCTTCATCACAGGTCAGCTGGTGGTTTCTGACTCCCTGCTTCTTCCTCTCCTCTTGCTAAGCTTCGTCCCTGCTCAGCTCCCTTTTCCTGCTCCAGCCAATCTCATTTCCTTGGAAGTGTTCAGTGTTTTGGGGAGTGGACTGTTCTGATCTTTGTTTTACCCATCCGTTTCTTATCTCCTCTTCTATCATGGTCAAAAACCTCACCTAAGGATTTTGTGGTTCTGTGAATTGGTATCTCCCACCTCCCCTATCAGGGTTACCTCAAGGGAGAGTAAATATAAATTCAGCAGGAACAGAGTGAGAGTTGGAACCTGTTAAGTTACATGGCACAAGGGGAAATCTCAGGAAGAGGGGTTTGCCCCGATCTTCCCACCCTTACCCAGGAAAATGAGAAGTAGCAGGAGGTGACTAGAAATGAGGATATGCTGTTGTCAGGGAGTGACATATGGAACTGTGTGGAGATTGACCTTTCCTTATCCCCTTCCCAAATAGCCGCCACCAACGGCCCTCCAGTGCTGGTGAAGAAGGAGAAGGAAATGGTGGGGGCATTGGTGTCAGATGGGCTGGATCGGAAGGAGCCCCGAGCCGGGGAGGTGATCTGTATAGACGACTGACTGGATCCCAGGCCTGCCCTTCACCCAGGCCCCGTCCCCGAGGCCGACCCCCTGCTCAGGCTCTGGGGCCTGCTGCCAGCCTTCCACCTTCCCCACCCCTTGGGCCACCACTGGGCTAAGAGCCCCTTTGCCTGTTTATAACTCCTCTCTTCAAGAAGGGCCCCTTGTCTTTCTCCGCCTCCATGTATCTTTCCCACCAAGCTTTGAAGACTGTGCTGGTATGAAGCAGTCTGGGTGGAAGACAGTTAGCAGGGTCTTACAAGTATCTTTAATCCTCCACCACCAAATACACAGTTTCCCAATAAACGATTGTGAGGAGGAAAGAGGTGGAACTCCTCAGGCTCTTCCTACAATATCAGCTCCACCTGTGGAAGTGGGGGATTAGCCTTGCCTGGCCTTTAGGAACTTTTGTGGATAGCAGAGCTTCAAAGAGAGGAAGGGGAATTGTAGAGAGGGATGAAAATAAGCCCTGGAAGGGAGAATGGAAGAGGAGGGGTGGCTGCATGTTACTTTCCCCTACCTCTCCCCAAATGGAGGGTGGAGCAGCTACAAGGGAGGAAGTCAATTAATTGCTGTTCAGCCTCAGAATAAAGGCGCCATTCACTAACTCAGTTACCTCCTGTGTACTGGCATCTTGTGTTGGGAACCTTCTCCCCCTTTCTAGGGACCAAGGACCACCCCCACAAAGAAATGGTTGGGTGATACTCCCTCAAGCCAAAGAGGAGCTCCCCAACCTGATCTAGGAACCTAGGTAACCTAGAAAGGGTGGGAGAGAATACAGCAGGCCAAACATGGGGGCAGCCCTCTACCTCCCCGTTTTGGGGCTCAGGTTTCTGGGGAACTTCTACCCTCCCTCCTCAAGGCCTGGATAAAGACTGTGTGAGTGGGTCAGGCCAGGCCAGGGGCCTCGTCAGGGGACTACCTTGTCTGTGGGACCAGAGCAAGATAGTGAGGGCAAACTTAGGGAGGTGTGGACACATCCCCCTTTTGAGGAGGGGACGGGGAGTGGCAGTTTGCATGGCAAACCCCCCCACTTCCTCTGCTGCCCCTTCACTTTCTTGCTGCCCCTTTCCCAGTCTCTTCACACCCACTCCTGGTCTGTCCCAATCCCCTCTTCTGTATCAGGTTTATTGGTTGTACATATAAATTATACTTTCCTTTCTGTGTGCTCTGTTATTTTTGGGTAGGGGAGTTTTGTGGGTGTGGGAAGGAGAAGAAAAACGATTGCTTTCGGCCATTATCCATCTCTCTGTCTCTTAATCTTGTGACTTTTCCTCATTTTTATCTCACTAAAACCAGAGACCCTTTTCCAATACCAACCACATGATGAGAGCTCAGTTATAGAGATGGAGATTTAACAGCAGGATCCCTGTGAAGCCACATAGTACACCGCGGAGAAGGAATGGGGCCTCCTTGATAGGAGTACACTGGAAAGAGTGCCTGGCAAGTTTCAAAACTGCCTTCCCAGCAGTACTTTTTTGATCATCCTTTCCACCTTCAAATTATTAGTTCCCCTAAGAGTCAATAGAGGTCACTACAGCTCCACAGGTTTAATTCTAATTTGAAGCACAGGCACAGTTGTTTTTTGTTTTGTTTTGTTTTAAGGAAGGGCTGTGTGTTCATCAAACCTGCATAGCTTACCAAAGATTGAAACTGCTAGACAGATCTAGATCTGTCATGTATTATTCACTAACAGAGCTTCTCATGTTGAGTGAAGCCAGACACTTTGTTCTTGAGACTATTACATTAAAAAATATGAGAGAAAGCTGGTAGATACGCTTCAAGTGGTAGCATGCTTGAGGCCTTGAGTTCAAATCCCAGTCTCATAAAAAAGGATTAAATCCAACAAACATTTATTGAATACACGCTATAACACTGCTGTTGGCTCGGAGATAATCCCATGAACACACAAAATATGAAATCTCAGACTTTACAAATGTAGCGAAAATAAGGCATTATGTTACAGAAGGGTGGAGAAAGGGCTCCCAAGAAAAGAATATTTAAGCTGAGACATAAGGATAGGAAAATGTCAAAATATAGTTTAAAAATGAAGACTTATACCTTACAAATGGATACATTTATAATTTGTCAATTGAAAAAATAATTTAAAAACTTGGCGACCCCTAAAAAATTGAGGTCTATATTTAAGTTCACATTTTTAACTCAGAAGAATGTGCCAGTTTTCTTCAGCAGTAGAACATCACAGATGATATCCTATATAGTGTCTAGGATCTAGACCAGTGCTTCTTAATTTACATGCACACAAGTCACCTGGGATTGTGAAAATGCAGTCTGATTCGGTAAGTCTGGAGTGGAATCCTAAGATTCTGTACTTCAGTAAGTTCCCAGTAACACCAACACTGCTGGTCCTTCACAAGGACTGTAAGACATTTATAGGACTTAAAAATAGAATTCATGGCATATAACAGGTGATTTCCCACTATGGGACACAAGTTTAAAATTATGTCTCTTTTTTTCAGGGTGTCCTGTGACTAAAGATAACACATAATATCAAAAAATGCAGATTTTTAATGCCTTTCCCAAATGGTTCTACTATCTTTGATAAGCCCTAATTAAGTGCCTCACATAAATGCCCTCTAGACTTCCTGATACCTGTCCTAGCAAGTTGGAAGGAGGTTGTGAAATAAAGCAGGGCCCTTAATCATAGGGAGGCACCTCAGGAATTTCTAGAACACAGAACTGGGAGTGGGGAGACATGGGCCTGCCAGCATCTTTACATACAGAAGAGATTAACATGAAAATTAGCTTCTCCTTTACTGTTTTCATCTTTAAGAAAAAGAATTCCGATCACTGATAGCTACTAAAATGGAGCCCGATGCTTCCATTACGCCACAGCTAAGAAGACAAGTCTGTTAATGTAGGCTTTGTTGCTATCCCTGGGATAGCAACACTCCGAAATATGATGCTGGCACAGTCAGTGGATGGGTCGAGGTCTGTCTAGGAACTTCCCTAGCTCAGAATCAACACCTCCCAGAGCATTATTCCCTCCTGCCGTGGGCTCAACTCATCAGGAGCCAATCTTGAGACCTGAGATGGTAGTCTTGACGTCAGCCGCCTGTACTAAAACACACTGGAGACTTGCAGCTTCCACCTTCCGCCATAGCTTTAAGTTCCTGGGTTACAGCGTGTAGCGGGTCATGTGGGCAATGTCTTTGATCTCTGGACAGTAGAGCACTGGGGGAAAGAAGAAGGGTTAATGGCAGCAGGAGGATGCCACCAAACCCCGGCGATCCTCGCGCTCTCCCGCGCATACTCCCCCGGAACCCCCTCACCGTTGCTAGGCAGCGGACGCCGCCAGCGGCGCGCGGGCGCCAGGACCCTGTCCCAGAGCCGCCGAAACGCGCGCCACCCCGCACTTCTAGGTCCCGCCCCCTTCTCGCACTCCTGTTCCTCATCATCAGCCTCGCCATCAGCATCGCCGCTTTCCTTAACCGGACACCCCGCCTCATCTCGTTCGCGTTCAGTCCGTGCTTTTTCCTCCAATTGTGCCCACACGCCCGGGTCAAGAGCGACCTCTGTGACCCCACCACGCGGGAGAGGGGAGCGCGCGACAGAAGGGACACGTGACCACGCGACGCAGGCGCACCACACGCGCGGCCGCACCGCCGCCGTCTCCGCGCGCCGCCAGCTCGCGCAGGCAGGCGGTGCAGAGTGTGTGGCCGCAGCGGGCGCGCGCCGTGCCGGTCAGACGACGGGGCGCGCGGCTCCCGAGGTTGAAGGGACGGTAGCAGATATTGCAGTCCAACTCGCCCCGCTCCGGAAGAGAGGGCACTCTCACCAGAAGCTGCATGGTGCCCGCTGCGGATTGGAGGCGTCGCACAGGCGGCCGGCCGGCTCCGTACACACAGCAAGAGGGCCCTACTGGGGCCGAGGTTGGGTCCTGGGGCCGGCGCCGCGGCCTCTCACCCCTTTTAATAGTAAGATCCCGCCCTCAAGGCGTCACGCGACGGTCGGACCGCTCCCTGCGGCGGCACGCGTGGGGGCGGTGGAGGCGCGGACCCGGGAATGCGAGTGATGGTGGAGCAGGGTAGGTGGCCCAGGTGTTGCCAGGACTACCGTGAGGGACACACTCCACCCATTGTCCGACTCGCCAACTCCTTCACTCCCAACACAACCCCATCGCTGTTTAATGCTCAAATCCCCAAGTTCCTTCTTGCACTCCAGCCCTTGGTCACTGGCACAGGCCCCTCAATCTCCCTTGGCCTGCTGTCAGTTGCTCACACACTTTCACAACCCCACCCAAACAGACTTTCAAGGCCAGCTATACTGCCCACCTTTTAGCGGGCTCCTTGACGTTTGAATGGATGCTGCCCAGCAGTAACTCTGTTTTGCCCTCAACTCTCCTTATATATGACCACCTATGTTCTTGTAAGGCTGGCTTCCCACATTTCATTTTCCCCAAACTGTTCCAACTCCAGCTGACATCTCAACCTAAGGAAGGACCTAGATTCTAAAACCACGGCTGTAGGAATGCTAGCATTCTCTTCCTCCCTGAGTGTCCAGGCCTCAACGCCTATTCACTATGATGGCTCCGGCAAAGCATCTCATCATGACCTGTGACTCAGGGGTCTGACTTCTTCCATGGGTAAACAGGACGTGGTATTCACAACCCACATCCCACACCCAGCTGTCTCCTCACCCCTCTCCCCCAGACCTGCAGCCCAGGTTCTCTTGTGGAGGGTAATAACACAGTCTCGACCCAACTGGCTTGAGTACAAATCCTAGCCTCCACCAAGCAGTTGTGACACTGCAAACGAGTTACTTAATTCCTCTGGGCCTTGATTTCCTCATCTGCAAAATGTGCATAATAACAGTAAGGATCGAAAGAGCTTGTATATGTAAGGTGCTTTAAATGGTGCTTGGTACACAGTAAACACTGGGTAACTATTAGCTATTATCACCATCCTGAGCTCCCAGCCCGTACTGTATTCACTTTAACTTCTCTGTACCCAATATTTTCAACACCCATCTCTTGATTAATACAAGACAGACTATTCTCTACACCCATGACATTTACTGGCATATCATAGGTAAGTCAGAGCTGGGTTTGTTTTTTAACTAAATGGTTAAAACTTAGAAGCTAATCTATTGTGAGGAGATGTACTTAAGGAAGCATTTTAGAATTTAGTAGTTGTATTGTTTCAAGGTCATTTGGGGGAACCTATCTACATTCCAATGATTCTGTGATAATTCAAATTAGGAACTTCTTTTTGGAAAGGTGGGCCTCACATTTTAAAGAATCTTCAACTGGTGGTAAATTTTTTTTTTTCCTTGTCGGTGGTAAATCTTAATCTTTCACGGTAGATTTAAAATGTTATGGGCTGGGATGTAGCTCAGTGGTAGAGCACTTGCCTAGCATTCGAGAGGCCCTGGGTTTGATCCCAGCACCAAAAAGGAAAAGACAAAAAAAGTGTTATATAAGTGCTCCCAAAGTGTTTGACAACTAAGGGTCCCTTCTAAGCATCAGATCTGTATAGCCCTTCACCTGCTCCACAGCCTTTGTTTATCTTGAAGAACTCAAGGTGATGATCTTCCTGTCCAAACTGGAATTTCTTCCAGTGCTTGCTACCCATTCCTTTTCCCAACTTCAGAAACCTACGTGTTATCCTTGACACCTCCCTTGCCTTCCTTTATTGACCCATCACCAAGTCTGGATTATTTTGTCTCTTAATTATCTCTCTAATCCACCTACTTATCTCCTCCTCCTGCCTACCAGTCTGGTCCATGGTACGGTCATCTCTTGCTTAGACCCCAGCAGGAGCCTCCTAACCAGTCTATCCATGAGCAGCCTGCAGGCTTTTCTCTCTGTTTATAGATATTTTTCCAAATCTCAAACACATGCCAGCTTCTGGTAGCTCACGCCTATAATCCTAGCTACTCAGAAGGCAAAGATCAGGAGAGCAAATAATTTGCAAGATTCTTTCTCAATAAAAACCATCACAAAAAAGGGCTGGTGGAGTGGCTCAAGATGTAGGCCTTGAGTTCAAACCCCAGCATCTCACACACATGAAAAAAATCTCAAATACAATCACATGCTACCACATACTCCTTCCACTTCTGTTTAAAACCTTTTAACATTATGATAATTGAATAGCCCCCCAAATCCTTTGCAATGTGCCTTTTCTGCTTCATCCATCAAGATTTGGGGTTTTGCCAGGTGTGGTAGTACACGTCTGTAATCCCAGCACCTGGGAGGCTGAGGCTGGAGTATTGTGATTTTGAGTCCACCCTGGGCTACCTAGTGGGACCTTCTCTCAGTAAAAAATAAAATAATCTACTTCCCTAGCCTTTGAATCAGAGCTGGCTTTGGGGCCAGGCTTGACAGAAGTGATGTGTGCATTCTGGAAGATAGTCTTCCCGAGACCTTGCAGCTTCTGCCTTTGTTCCCTGGAAGGCTGCCCTGAGACCACTGTGTAAGAAAGTAGGATTAAGCCTGTAATCCTGTAATCCTAGCTACTCAGGAGGCAAAGATCAGGAGGATGGAAGTTGGAAGCCAGCCCAGGCAAATAGTTCACAAGACCTATCTCAAAAAAACAAAGCAAAACCAAGCCCACCACACACACACACACACACACACAAACACACACAAAGGGCTGGTGGAATGGCTCAAGGTGTAGGCCCTGAGTTCAAAGCCCAGTACCACAAAAAAAAAAAAAAAAAGTAGGGTTGGAACACTGGAAGGTGAGGGTACTTGGAGGATATAGAGGCACCCCAGCCAAGATCTAGCACTAACTGCCACATGTGCTAGTGCTCAGCCATCCTGCTAGCTCAGTGTAGTCACATGCATGAATTCAGGTGGAAATAGCAGGCAACTTCCAACCAACCCACATAATCATAAAAAAAAGCCACATTTTTGAGGTGATTTGTTGTGTGTCAATCCATAACGGATATAAGAAGCTTTCTTTCTGTCCTTAGGATTGTATTCTAAAGTGCCCTGTAGGTCTTGTGTGCTCTGACCTCACACTCTACTTCTGTTCACTTCTTACACAGAAGATATTTGGGGATATTTGGATTGTGTTATGGTTTGGGTCTGTAACGTCCTCCAAAGGCATATGTTCAAGGCATGGTCTCCAGTTGATGGGGTTATGGGGGATGGGCATCAGAACCTTTGGGAGGTGGAGCATAGTGGAAGTGTGTGCCCTTGAAGGGTAGATTGGGATCCAGGCCCCTTCATCTTGCTGTCTGTTTCTCAACGTGCTGTGAAGTGAGCAGTTTCCCCCATGAGGTCGTGAAGTCCTGCCTCATTACAGGCCAGAGCAATGAGGCCAACCAACCATGTACTGAAACCATGAGCCAGAATAAATCTTTCCCTTTTTTAAGTTATCTCAAGTATTTTGCAACAGCAACAGAAAGCTGACTGATACAACATGCATGTTCCCTTCTGTCACAAGGCCCCTTTGCATATGCTATTCCCCTAGCCCTCTAATGAAAGCAAGAAGGCTAACACCTGCTCATCCTTTTGCTTAGCCCAGCCTCACTAGATTAAATAAATACCCATTATAACTGACTTTAACATCATATACTTTCCTCTGGACTTTGGACAACTGAAGTTTGTATTTGATTGGTTGTTGTGATTGTGTCGTGGTCATCCCCCCATCTCAGTAAGCTGCAAGAAGGTTGTTCAGTCTGGTTTTTGTTCCCTGAGTCATATTACAGTAGAGCTTAATAAATACTTGTTAAATTCATGAATGAGGTGGGTGAGGTGCCATATTTGGCAAAGGAGGCAGGACAATAAAGAAAAGTTGTGTTTGCATAATTCCTTTTTCTTGGCAGCACGGGGGTTTGAACTCATGCTTGTTAGGCAGGCATTCTACCACTGAGCTACTCCGGCCCTGCAAGGGGTTTCTAGATTGACTGTGAAGGTAATTCCAAGAGTTTTTTTAAAAAGGTACTGAGCAGTGGGGAAGGCAGGATTACAAGTTTATAGTCCTCCAAGAGAACTATTCAAGGAGAATACTACTTTGAATTGATAAATTCTTCTTGTATGTTTGTTATAGAAGGAACTAATGATAGCTTAGTCATACATTTTACTTCTTCATTTCCTCCACAGTCTTTCAAAATGAGTGGGAGATTATAGGAGCAGATGTAAGTATTCATTAGTTGATCCTTTTGTTGCTAATCCAGCAAATGGCATGCTGTTGGGACTTCTCTTTTGGAAACTGGTTTTCCTTTGTGCTCCCAGCTTCAGGATCAAGGCAGGATGAGAAGGGGTAGAAAGGGGATGGTGAGGTTGTGTTTAAAGAAGGCAGAACTCATCCTCCTCTGCCTTATGATCTTTAAAGGTTGTAACTTTCCACCCACTTTCTGTGTCCAGGAAGTCAGAGTCCTCTGGGGAAAAAAGCTGACAAAGCCCCATTTGATTCTGCTCTTCTGCTACCCTCACACCTGATCTCTCACTGACTTTTTCCTTTTAAAATTATGACTCCTCTCCCTTTCTCTGTATCTCTTTCACCAGAGACAGGTCTGCACTTTACCTCTCCTCTGCCAAATCACAAAACCTCAAGCTCATAGCAACCTTTCCCACTTGGCCATGACAAAAACTACTCATAGTTCTTGGCATATATGTAGGCATCCACAGGAGAGAAAGAAGTATGGCCAATGTAATTTTAAAAACAAACAAAAAGGACAAGAATGTCAGACAGCTGAGTCTTTCATAAAAAGAGGAGCAACATGGTTGGACATAGTGGTGCTGGCCTGTCATCCTAGCTGCTGGGGAAAGCACCAATAGGACACTCTCCAGGCTGCCAAGGCCTAAAGCAAGACCCTATCTCAGAAATAACCAATGCAAGGTGAAGTGACTCAAGTGGTATTGTGCCTGCCTAGCAAGCAAAAGGTCCTGAGTTCAACCCCAGTACTGAAAAAGCAGAGCAAAACGCCAGGCGCCAGTGGCTCACACCTGTAATCCTAGCTACTCAGGAAGCAGAGATGAGGAGGATCAAAGTTGGAAGCCAGCCCAGGCAAATAGTTCATGAGACCCTATCTCAAAAAGACTCATCAGACACACAAGAAAAAGGAATGGTGGAGTGGCTTAAGGTGTAGGCCCTTGAGTTCAAACTCCAGTACCACAAAACAAAACAAACAAGGAAGCCAGATCACTGGTTCTAAAGAACTAAAGAAGGAAAGAAAAAGACACATGCTTGGGGTACCTGGTGCCTAGGTTCTCAATGAGAACAGTGACCAGGAGTCTGATGCCTGAGTTACTAGGATGAGTGGAGAGGAAACTAGTGCTGGGAGCTTTCTGACCACCCGGTGAGAGGGCCAGGTATGTGAGATGGTGACCCTAACCATCCACCTTCTGCAATTATAGACACTGTGAGGATCAAACTTAGGATTTATTTACAGTTCCCTGGGAGGTCTTACAGAGGGCCATCAATATTGTTTTATGGTTATTGCCTGGAGGAAGACTGCAGTCCTCCACTGCCAGGTACGAGGTCCAGCTCAAGGCTCAAAAGTCTGTCGGCCCCATGTCTCTGCTGGTGACCCAAATGTTGTCACTAATTCCTGCAAAACATTACCCAACTTAGGTTTTCCAAGGGCTACCCTGCCACTTTTGCCAGAATCACTCTATACATCGATCAGATTTCTGCCTTTGTTAGTACAGTGTCTCTGGGTTCCCAGCCCTCACACCTACTCTCTGCAAGCACAAAGTATGACAGTAGTTCTAGATTTAAGTCCTCCTCCACCTCCGGACTGGGAGGCAGGGTTCTGACTTTCCAAAGATCATCATTTCCTGTCAGGACCAGTCTAGCTTCCTTTGTACAAATAACAAAGCTCCATTTCCTGTGTCCCAGATGACAGCACATCTCACTTCTTCTTAGGTTCTTAGCCCTTGATGACATTTCAAGGGCCATTATTGAGGTACTTTGCATGTTGCTTATTTCCTTGGCCTCGGTGATAGGGAGAAGAGAGAAAGGAGCAAGACCAAATGGCAGAGAGGAGAGGACCCCGTAACTCATGCCCAGAATTAATTAGCAAGAAGGCCTAGAAGGACGCAGCAGGCGATGGAAGGACTACTTTCTCTCTCTAGCCCCACTGCGGAAGGATAAGGCTTTGGTCATGCGAATCTCTACGAAGCCAGGATTCGTTTGTGGGCAGGGCTACCCTGGTTTGGCCACTGCGTGGAGGAATCCGGAGTAGGAGGGGCGGCTGCGGGAAGCGGCTGGCAGGCTGGAGCGATTAACTCCGGGTTGGCCCCAACGCCACCGACGAACTATTTCTTGGAATGCGATTTGTTCCCCAAGAGCCCGTCTATCTCCATCATTGTTTGCGGTGTCAGCTGGCTCAGCACCTGTAGGAGAATGGATGGTGGACAAGGCTGTACAGCTGGGTCACTGAGGAAGGGCGTGGCGTTCGAGGACACAGAGAAGAACCACGGGGGGCCCCAGTGGCAAGGAAAGTCGCAGGTGTGCCCCTGTCTTGCCGTGTAGTCTGGACCTCTCCCCTTCAAAGTGAAGACTTTGTAGTGGGTGATCTTAGCATGCCATTCTGGGTTAGACAGAGTGGCCTTGACTTCTGGGGAAGGGGTCAGATACGGATTCTGGCGAATCTCCAGCTCACCTCTAGGGCACCCAGGTGTTCCATCAGCTGCTCTGCACTCGACACCCCCAGCAAGACTGAGCTGACCCCCTCACTGCGGAGACACCAGGCTGGAGACCAGAGGAGGAAAAAAATGAGAACTGGTGAGAAGCAGTGAACACAGATTTCAGAAGTGTCTGAAGAAGAGGGTCTTCCATAAGGAAAAACAAGTCTTAGGATATGTTGGAAGATCTAAGGGGGAGGCAAGAGCGCCTGTAGGATCCAGTGCAGGTATACTGTCTCACCTATAGCAAGCTGGGCCACAGTGCAGCCCAGTTGTTGGGCAGTGGGGAGAAGGTCCATTACTTTGGCTTGTTGCTTCTTGTCATCCTCACTCTGCACTTTGTCCTTGAGCCACTGGTAACCCTGGAGGCCAAGGAAAATCAGCAAAAGACCTTTGCCACCACCATGACCAACACACAGCAGGCCAGATATCCAGTTCTGCCATCCTGAGTCCCCAAGATCTCACCTTGATGGTGGCCCTGCACATATCTGGGTCTCGCCCATCATACTTGCTAGTAATGAGGCCACAAGCCAGAGGAGACCAAGTGACTGAGCCAACACCTAAGAGCAAGAGGATTGGGTGTGGGAAAGGGACCTAGTCCGCTGGTAAGGCCAAGGGAAAGGTAGGGATGAGGGGCTGCACACCAATCTTATGGTAGAGCTCTGGTAGCTGCATCTCCACCTTCTCCCTCTGAAACAGGTGGTGCTCCACTTGTTCACACACAGGAGGAATCAGATTGAACTGTCTGGCCATGGAGTAGGCCTCCTGGGTTGGGGTGGGGAGGGGACAGGAGTCAGAGCACTCCTTCCATCTTCTTCCTTGTCCCTTCCTCCAGTGTGGCAGGGTTTGGAGGGGCCATGTGAAAAGAGAGACCCAATGTGGAAAGGGGGAAGCAAGGTCACATACTTACCATGATTTCTGCAGCCCCCCATCGGGATGTCCCCCAATATAGGGCCAGGCCCTGGTTGATGACGTAGGTCATGGCTCGCACAATCTCTAGGCACACAGGAATGGGAAAACCTCACTGTCAAACCCCTGAAATCTAAGACTTCACATCTGAAGATCTCTGCCTGCTCTACCAAGACCCCAGGTATAGCTGTGCCATCAGGGAAGTTTGTATCTGTTCTTTGCCTCCCTCCCTGTCCAGGTCCTGGAGTCTGAGGGAGCCTGGGAGGCTTGGGTGGGGGCTGGCTTTCTGTTGAAGTTTTGAGGAAGTGCCTGATTTTGAAGGGCTGTCAGGTTTGGAAGTGCTGCTTTTACCCTCCATAGGACTGTTGGGGTCTGAACGACTGGCAAAGACAATATCCACATATCCCAGCTGGAGGCGTTCCAGGGATCCTCTCAACCCTAGAGGTGGGGAGAGGAAGGGAAGTACCTCAGCTTCAGCGTACTAACAATTCAGATCTTACCCCCTTGCCATGGCCACTTAAATCCTCCAACTCAGAGCTCCAGATATGTTCCCAGCTCCTCTGGCTTCCATGCTCATCCATTTCAGTTTCCCAGCCCCTAACTCTCACCTTCAATGATGTGTTTGCGGCTTAAGCCACGCTCAGTTTCTGCCCTGTAGGAAAAAGTAAGTCAAATGAGGTGTGACAAAAATAGGGGACCTGGGCTGGTCTGGAGCCATGAAGAATTGAGATAGCATGGGTTCCCATAGGCAGGATGTGGGCCTGGGATGGCGGGTGTGGGACAGTGGTCCCCACCCACCCCATACACCTTCACACATTCATTGTAGGTCTTCTCCCTAATCATAGCAGGGCAGCCACTTACTGTCCTCCCCAAAAAATCTTGGTGGTGATGATATAGCTGGATCTCCTGGAAGAGTAGACATGTGAAAAACATGAAGAAATGGATTTTTGGATGATCATGTACCCAGAAGCCCCCCAAAACAGTCTCACCTCCAACCTTTGCTCTTGAGGATGTTGCCTAGGGTTCTTTCAGCCCTGGAATAAAGACAATACAAAAGCACTAAGCCCTATAAGGTGGATTAGTGTCTTCTTCCCCTCCTCCCCTACTTTCCCTCTCCTATAAAGTAGGGCAAAAATCAGGAGCCCATTTGGGTTCTCACTCCATCTTGGACAAATAAGAGGGGCTTGGAGCCATGGGGTATAGTCATTTAGTTATTCATTCATTCAACAAATATCCATTGTGCATCAACTATGTACCAGGCCCTATTATGGCTGTTAAAGGACTAGAAAACAATGAAGAGAGAGAGGCAGACTGGTGGAGCCAGGGAGAACACTGCCTTGTCTGGTTTCAACCCACCTGGGTTGCCATCCTCCTCTGAGCCTCAGCAAAATTCCACCCTTTCTCTCAAACTCATAAAACGATTATGAGTTTGTGGTCAGTCCTTGAGAGCTTCCATCTATAGAATTGGTTACATAATTCATAATTATTTTTTTCCTTTTTTTTTTTTTTGAGACAAGATCTTGCTAATGTAACCCAGGCTGGCTTTAGCCTTTTGAGTCCTGGAGATTATAAGTGTGTACCATCATGTCTGGCTTACAGATTCTTTTTTTTTTTTTTGGTGGGACTGGAGTTTAAACTCAGGGCTTCAAGCTTGCAAAGCAGGCACTCACAAGGCAAGCACTCTACCGCTTGAGCCACACATCCAGTCGATTTTGCTATTATGTTGGTGATGGGGTATCTGGAACTGTTTGCCTGGGCTGGCTTTGAACCGCAATTCTCCCCATCTCAGCCAAGTAGGTAGGATTACAGGTGTGAGACACCAGCACCCGGCTTGGTTTACAGAATTCTTTCACACATAATTATGAACTAACTTGTGATAAATCCTAAATTGTTATGATGGACTGTTACTGAAATGTTTCACTATTGTTTAATCTTTCATATCTCCTGTATTTTTTGTTTAACCATTTAGACTGTGTATATTTATTTGAGGTACGGTGGTTTGAATTTTGGATTTCATGCTTGTAAGGCAGGTGTTCTACGTCTTGAGCCACACCTCCAGTTCCTGGACTGTGTGCTTTTAAAGAGCACATTGATTTCATCCCAGAAATAGTGCTTGCTTGCTCTTTGCTAGGCTCTATGAAGGTTCTCAGGAAGAAGCAAGTCAAATTCCCTGGAGGGGGAAGTCTCTTAGTTGAGCAGCAAATATGGCTGCATAAACCAGCCATAACTATATGTCAGAAACAGTATAAAGTGCTATAGAAGCTCACATCTGTGAACAACTTTGGGGAGTTGGGCGGAGGCTTCTTGGAGGAGCTAACATTTGGGTCAAGTTTTGAAGGTAAGCAGAAGTGTTTGCCAGATGGAGAAGAGGCAGGGTAAGTGGTCCTAGGTTTTGGCTGCTCCCAGTAGGAAGCCATGGGTGTGTGATGTCGCCTGATGTGTTTGAAAATTTAGCTTTGTAATCCCCAGGTAGTTGCACATAACTGATGCCAAGGATATATTTGTTGGTTTTATTTAATGTGACTACAAAGTATGCCCATTGACCTCTAAGCCAGGGAGGTATTGATGGAACTACAACTCCCACAATGCTCTGGGGGCACATGAGTTGAAAGGTTGGACCTTAGTGTTGCCAGAATTCCCAGAGAAACAAGAATCCTTGATGTTCTCAGCCTTCCAAATGTAACTTAGCTCTTTAACCCCGCTCCTTACTTTCCTGCTGCATATACTTCGGCGGTGTCAAACAGGTTTACACCATGCTCATAGGCTACTGTCAGTACATCCTCTGCTGTCTAGGAGGTGAGAGAAAGAGTTGAAGATCAACCACTGCCCTTCAGTTACCTCCTTTATTGTACTGTAACCCATGGCACCTAAGTCCTGGTTTCCACACTCTTTCTCTTTTTCCCATCCTCCAGCCTCAGATCCTTCATTCCCTATGTTTGTTGTCCAAACCCCTATCCAGGTCTGTTTCCCTCTTTCTGATTCCCTCACCAAAACCACCCTTCACTCTGCTTCTGGGTCCCATCACTTATACCTCATCAGAGATCTGAGAACCAAACGTGACCCAAGTACCTGCAAAAGAGAAGCCAGGCACATGAGAACCATGGGAGGCATTCCATGAAAGTATGCCCCCCTTCCCTTAATTCCTAATCTAACTCACCCAGGCCAAGACAGGACACTCGAAGACCAGACTTTCCTAGGTTCCTGCAAGATACAGAAGCAGCAGGAAAGGGTGGAGCCTCCATTAGGGATCTAGATTATCAGGCACCAACTCCTTTCCAAAGAAACTAGACCCAGTGGGCCAAGGGATCGGGCAGTGCCATCCCCATAGCACAGGCCCTAGGAATATTGTTGAAAGAACAAGTGAACAAACAAATGTCTGTTCCTTTGGAGCTACTATCCAATGCCTCCATTCCCTCCTATTACATTGAAGATGTGCTGTCTGGTTTGCCTTTCTTCTGGGTGAGGTCTTGTCTGTGTTTGAATCACCTCTGGGATGTGCAGAGTAGTAGACTTTGAGAAATGTGGCTAGCTGTGATGAGAATGCCCCACCAAAGGGTGACACCAGGGTGGAAGAGGTAAAAGTCAAGATCAGGCACACAGACAGGCAGGCGTCCCTGGCTAAGCTGGGCAGATGGGCCTCCAACAAAGGCAGATAGGGACTTGCAGGTGTGTGTGTGAGGGAGACCGGAAAGCATAGTTCTCCCTTTTCTCCCTTTTCCGCTGTCCACTGGCTGTAAAGACTATCTCTGAAAGAATTAGCCCTCTCCTCCCATGGTGCCCGACCCAAGTAGTCAGCTTAACTTCCTAATCAGGGCTGCTACATGGAGGGAATCAAACTCATCAGGTGACAAAATCTGGTCAGATCAATGACCACAGCACATGTCCAAAGCAAGAGACCCTTCTCTTCCCCAGCAGTGAATTCTGAGAGCTCTATGGCCTACAGACTCTGAGATAAGGTCAACTTTATGTTCACCTTCCCCACCTAGCTCCTGTCCCAAAGGTCCCACTTCCCTCCCACCCTGCTCCTACCCCACAGGGGAAAGGTCACAGACCAGCCCTGGGGCGGGGTGGAGGCAGGTGGGGGCAATATCTGGGTCAGGCGCCCTGAACAGGCCAGATCGAGAAGCAGTTTCCCTCCCTCCTCTCACCAGGACGCCAACCCAAGGACACTCCTTTGTGGGGTGGTGCAGCCTAGAGATTCGTGGGTCCCCCGCTTTCCTAGGGGTAAGGAGTGAGGCTCAGAGGATTGTTTGGGTCTAACAGGACATAATCTTGGTAAACTTCATCCTCTTATAGTCAGGGGTATTGACGGAGACCGAGGGCTGGATCACAAAAGGGAGTGCAGGTGACGGGGAAGAAGAGATGGACCGAACAGGGGAATCTTTTTAGCGAAGTTTTAAAGGGTTTTGGCCGCCATCCCAGGAAGCCTCAGGGGTCCCAAAAGGGGAGCAGATAGGCAGACTGCTAGGCCATCCCATACCTGTATTTCATGCCAGTGCCTCGGCCGGTGCTCTCTCGGAGGGCCCCAGCCGGCGCTGGAGGTCGGGGGACCAGTGCAGCTCGGACCTTGGGGCCCGACCCTCCACCCCCTGGAGGATTCCCGTGCCCTCCGCCGGCTGGCCCGCCATTACCGCCCCCAGGGCCCGGCCGGGGTCCACACAGGCAGTCCTCACTGCTCCGGCTGCGAAGGTTCTGCTCGGTACACGCGATAGACACTTGCATGCCCGCTGACCAGGACTGGGGAGGGGGCTCCGAGGGGGCGGGAAGAAGGAGCAGGGAAGCCCGGGGGCGGACACCCGGATTGTAGTGGGGCGATCTCTGGGTGAGCGGGAAGGCTGAGGTTGGCTGCGGCGGGAGCCGTCAGGCAGGATCGGGCCCGCGGGGGCGGGCTGCTGGAGGTCGCGGGGTTTGCCGCGGAGAGGAAGAAACGCTGGGGGCGCCAGCAGTGGAGATTCAGATACCAGGGACGCTGGTGCAGGGAGTAGGAGGGGGAAGTGGGTAAGGGTAAAGGTCGGGGCGGTCCTCAGAGGCTAGAAACCCGGGACAACGGGTGGCGGGAGACGGATGCCACTCCAGCTGGAACCGCTGCGGGACAGACTGGGCTCCCAGCCGCGTCGGCAGCCGGCCCAGCTCATCAACATGCAGACACCGCCCCCTCATCTACATAGAGCCTCCCGCCTCCCAGCCAAACCTGCAGCTTATCTGCATAAGCCCCGCCTGCTAAAGGCTCGCAAGTTTGAATATTCTGTGTTTTCAGAGAAAGTGGCGATCCGATCCAAGGAGCGTGGTTCTCACACCATACCGACCAGAGGCCTGTCAGCCTTCCCCCTGCCCAGTTCTCAGTTGGGAGGGATTTTTGTTTCCCAGGAAACACGTGACAAGGTTTGGAGATACTTTTACTGTCATAACTGGAGTGAGGAATGGCAGCAGAGGCTGCTGCTAAAATCCTACATAACACAACAAAAAAAAAATCATCCCGCTCAAAATGTCAACAGCGCCGCTGTTGAGAAACCCTGGGCGAAACCTCTCTGCAGCCTTCAGGGGGTGTGGCCTCCCTAGTTCCCCGCCTTCATTGAGGCAGGACCCAAGAAACCAATGAAATTGACACGTTCAGGCTTCAGAGGGTAACAAAAAGTTTATTGAGTTTTTCGCAGCGTCAGGTAGGGTATAAAACGGGAGAGAAGGGCCGGTTTGGAGACATAGGGAATTCTGTGGACTTCATTTTGGTGATTCGAGGGCACGGGGCAGGGGATGGGTGGAGTGTGGGCTTTAAGTCTGAAACCCTGGGAGGGGGGCAGATGTAAGGGCTTACAGTGTCACAAGTTAGAAAGGACCCCTTGCAGTCACAGATTCTTCTGAGAGGTGAGGTAGGATGTTTCAGCCAGCTCGGGCAGAGAAGAAGGGCAGAGAGCGGACATAGGAATCTAGCCGGGAGCGGAACAGCTCACTTTGTACAGTTTGGCCCAGTGGACACAGGGGATTCTTCACCACCAACTCCACGTACAGCTGTGGAGGGGAAGGATGTAAGAGCCGAGTTTGGACACTTCTCGTTTTCAGCCCCAGACCTAGTATAACCTAAAGAATGCACAAGGAACCAGGGATTGAAGGCAAGCCCTACCTTAGGAGAAACTGATGGTGGGAGTGTTTAAGGACTCAAAAAGCTCCAAGAAAACTGAGCTCAACAGAGATAAAATACAGTAGGATTAAGGCAGGAAACCTGAGAGACTCTTGGGGCTCTGACTGTGGCTGTTAGGGGCTTTGGTGTAAGGGTTCCCTGGGGCTGACAACTGACCGCACTGTAGATATGGTGCAGCACATCTCGGATAGGTCCCACGCCCAAGTCAGTATTCATGACAACCTTGATCCCAGTGGGCGTCTCGTAGTAATGGAGTTTGTAACGGCTAGTTTGGAAGGCCAGGAAGCCATCCTTCCTGCAGAGATGAAGAGGGTGTTAAAGATGGGAGTGGAATGGAATCTCTGCCAAAGAAATACTTCTAAAGTATTTAGTCTTTGTCTAAACAGATGGTTTGTAGGAGCCTGATTGAATAAAGACACCTCCCATCTTCACCCCGCAATTTATTCCCCACCTTCAACCTCTTTACTTTCAGATTTTTCCTACTGCCGCTCCTGCCAACTTCAGTACCCTCTCTAAGTCCTCCTCTCTTCTCTGGGAGCCAATGCCCCTTCCATTCCAGGAAGCACCCCTCTGCCCCCAAATCCCCAAGGCCAGCTGTCCTCTCAACATCCCCTTTGACAAGGCGTACATGTCTAACGGGGACATCTTGCTGACAAACGAGCGGATGGAGAAGAGCATTCCGTACATCAGCTTATACTCCTGGAGGGAGAGGGGCAGAGTTAGATTTCGATTATTGAGGGAGAAAGGGTTGGGGTGGGAAGGAGCCAGGATTTGGAGAAGAGGGGCTGGGCTGGGGCTATGTGCATTTGGAGATGCTCCGGACTGAGCCGGAGCTCTCGTCACCTCCTCCTTGGGGATCCCCGCTTGCTTCTTGCGGTGCCACTCGCTGTAGTGAAGACACACTCCATTCCGGTCAAATAGATACAGGTTGTGGACAGTCATCTGCCGGACAGGGTGTGTGAGCCTCGCTCTCGGACTTGCCCCGACTCAGGTTCTCTGTCCTGATTCCCAAGCAGTGGGGACCCCACACCCGCACTCACCGGAATTGCTTCAGGTACTGTGAAGGACTATTTCCGGTGTCCGGGCAGCCCCGCCTCGCCGATTCGCGGTGCAGCTGTAGCTAGCTGGGCATTAACTCCGCCCCCATATCATTTGTTAGACTCTGCCTTCTTCCTTCAGCCAATCCGTGGCCTCCTGACCCGCGCACGCGCGCCGAGGCTTCTGAAGCATGCGAGCATGAGCGCTCTGCGCAGGTCGTCTCGCGAGTGGGTGACGCCACCTAGGCGAGAGGGGTTGGGCTGCAGGCGATGGGCGGGAGGCTGCAACGGTTTTGAGAGTAGAGGACCGCGCGAGGACTGGGGTCTTGATCTTTCTCGGCTGGGGCTCTGGAGAGGGAGGCATTTCCTCTCTTCATCTTGGCATATTGGGGGCTGAGGACTGGAGGTGCGGAGAGTAGTCAGGGGTGGTCGCAGGAGAGGATCTCAGGCTAGGCTTGAGGGGGCGTGTTTTTTAGGGGCGTATGACGGTGTGACTTAGTATTCACAGGGCTTCTTTTGCGGTGGCGGGAAAGGAAGGACTTTAGGGATCCCTGATATGGCTTTCTTGCCAGGAGAAGTCGGAAGGGGTACACAAGGAATTTGATCCTGCGTAGAACAGGTGAAGTGGGTGGAGGGGTATGGCGTAAGTCTCTCTCTCTATCTCCCTCTTCCTCTCTCCCTCCCTCCCTCCCTCTTTGAGACTAGAACCAGTTGAAGGGGATACTGGGCCTCTGTGAATCGGGGTCCATTTCGGCTTGCACGTTTCAGCTGCAAGAACTTTAAGAGCTCAGTTGGCCAGGGATAGTCTGTGCTGAAGTTCATCTGCAGCTTCCAGCACTGTTTGGGAAGAGGAATTGCAGAGGCGCTGTTGCCCCACAGGTTTTGTGTCCGCACTCCCTCTGCGCTGCATCCTCCCTTTTCAACCTTCCTAAGAGCTGAGGAAAGAATGCCTTTGCCCTTTCCATGGCCACTGGAGCTTGGGAAAATCTTTCCTCTATCCAGAAAGCCTTAATACCCTTATTCACCAAGGACCCACCAAGGAGTTTTGCTCCCTTCTCCCAAATCTTCCTCCTCCGTGGACTTTTTCTCTTGGGACTCTCACAAAACTGAACCAAGAGTTCTCTGCAGCTGTCTGCTGTTTCTAGCTGTCTCTTCTCTGTACTCATGGCGACTTCCAACACCAGTCCCAGTTCACCTCTCCGGGCAGAAGATCTCCTGAGTGAATCATCAGAGCCCCCTGGGCTGAACCAAGTGTCCTCTGAGGTGACCTCTCAGCTCTATGCTTCTTTGCACCTCAGCCGACAAGCAGAAGCCACAGCAGAGCCCAGCTGTTTTTAGCTTCTACCTCCCCTCCTCCTCCTGAGACCTTTGATGGCTTGGCCCAAGAGCTGAGTCGCAGCTTGTCAGTCGGATTGGAGAACAACTTGAAGAAAAAGGTGAGGGAGGTTTGTCTTGGGGACCTCTAAGGTGTAGACCTAAGAGTCTTGGGATTGCAAGTTAATTTTGCTGAGATCTCATCTTCCATTGTTGGATTTCAGTTTCCTTTTAATTATATAATTCTTATGCTTATTTCTGGGAGCAAATGTTTATGAGGGAGAGAAAGTGACCTGGAACAACATAATTTGGGAAACTGTAAAACTTCCTAGTGTTTTTTTCTTCTTCTTCTTTTTTTATTGTCAGAGACACCTTTACTATGGAGTAGGTTGGTGTCCTATTACTGGGGCCCTGGGTACTGAGAGTGTGGTAGAATACAGTTTCTGGTCCCAAGAGGAAACTGGGGATTGAGGGATAACAGCAAAATATGGTAGGATCCTTCCAGTTCAAAACTATTTTGATTGTGTGGTTTAAAATTTGCATGCAAATAATTAAAACATAGTCCATTTACAGAGAAGACAGTTATTCATGTTGGATAGAACAGGTGGTGTCATTGGGCTGGGAATGTAGCTCAGTTCAAACTGCTTGCCTAGCAAACTCAAGGCCCCTGGATTCATTACCCACTACCACACACACACACAAAAAGAAAACCTTTTTTGTTTTTTGTTTTTTTGCAGTACTAGGGTTTGAATGCAGAGCCTACACCTTGAGCCACTCCACCAGCCCATTGTTTTTGTTTTGTGAAGTTTTTTTTTTTTTTTTTTTTTTTGAGATAGGATCTCTAGAACTGTTTGCCTGGGCTGGCTTCGAACCACGATCATCCTGATCTGTACCTCTTGAGTAGCTAGGATTACAGGTGTGAGCCACTGTTGCCTGGTTCAATTTGGTTTCTATAGGCATCTGGGTTTCTAGCTCAAGGTTAAGCTACTCCTTATTGGTTCTGTTTTGCTTTTCTTGCTTTCCCAGGGCCAGAGTAAAATCCTACCCTTGCAGTAAGTAGAGTATAGATTATACAGTTTACATATGATTTTGAGAGGTTTTTTTTTTTTCTAGGATGGTTCTAAGCATATCTTTGAGATGGAAAGTGTTCGGGGTCAGCTCCAGACCATGCTCCAAACCTCACGTGATCCAGCCTATCGTGAGTAAGCCCCTTCCCCAGAGCTCTGAAGGAGATCCTAGATACAAAGGTGAGAGACAGTGGAGCGAGGAAGCAGGGAGGAAAACCTGGATATGGGACAAGAGACTTGAAGAAAAAAGCACCCATTTTTTGGGAGAGGGAGTAGAAAGGAAGGACTTCTCTTTTCTTCAAATGGTCCCTGTTCCTGTCCTTACCTGACCCTTACTGTGGGGTCCCCTGGGCTTCATGCAGGGCCTCCCCTCACTCCAGGAGCTGGCTCAGAGAGACGGGAAGAGGACTCCTTTGACAGTGACAGCACAGCCACCTTGCTCAAGTGAGTTCTTCTTGGAGTTCTTGTGGCTCTCTTGCTTTGTTGGGAATCCACAGGTTCTACTCTTAGTTCTCCTTTGACTGCTTATTTACCTCTTAGGGATCTAAGAAGCTTGTTGCTTAGCTTTGAGCTTTCCTCTCTTTTCTACTGTCTTCTGCTCCCTTTATTCCTTTCAGAACCTGGTCAGCAGCTGCCTAGTATCTGACTGTCTGTCATTCTCAGTCCTTCTTCCCCCAGAAGAGTTAGCTTGCTTTTGCAGAGACTGTTTTGTATAGGGAGTATGGTATGGAAGGAGCATTATGGAGTGACTCACAGGCCTGTGTGCTCTTTATGGCTCTAGCACTGCTCAGCTTAATAACTTCCGGCAAGTCTCTTGCCCTTTTGGGTCCCAGTTTCCTCATTTGTAAAATACCGTAGTAGGATCAGTGGATCTCAAAGGCTTTCTCAACCCTAACATTCTCTACCTGATTTGCTTAGCACTCGACCTCTGCAAGAGTTATCTCCATCCAGTTCAGCCCAAGCTCTGGAAGAATTGTTTCCCCGCTACACCAGCCTCCGGCCAGGGCCCCCACTTAATCCCCCAGACATTCAAGGACTGAGAGATGCACTGGACTCAGAGCATACCCGCCGTAAGGTGAGACACAGAGGCTTTCTTCTGAAAGCAGCAGAGATTAGAAATAGGGGACTTGAATGCTGAAAAGGGCTGAGAGTTAAGAGCCTGGAAGCGGGACCCGTGCTCAGGTGTTTCTTCAGGGACGCCCTTGTTGACCATCCTGTGTACTGTGGTACTACTGTTCCCTTAGGTAGACACTCAGCTTACCATTCTGATACATCTAATTTGTTCTCCTCATTAAAATCTAAACTCTGCAAGAGTCTGGACCTTGTTCTCTTCAGCACAAGCTCCCTAAAGTCTAAAATATACCTAATACATACAAACACCCCATAAACATTTGTTGAATAGACAATGAACTTTGGTGACTTGTGCAAAACTTTACAAATACTGGTGATATAATGATCTTTATCTATGTGAGCATCAGAGAACAGAGAGGTGGACAAGGCCAATGAAAAGTCAGAATTGTCATTTTTGAACCTTCTCTTCCCATATTTTAAACTTCTTGGAGATGAATGAAAGGCTTTCCCCTTTATCCTTGCTGTGTTCAATCATCATGTCCAATGAGCTTAAAGCACGAGTAACATCCCACGCTTTGCAGTGTGGGCTGCTGCACATACTGCAAAGGTTTATGGGAATTTTCCTCAGGAGATCCATGAAAGGGAGGAGCCCCAAAGCTAAGTATCTACTTCCTGAGAAAGTACAGGAAGATGTTGGAGGTCTTGGACCTCAAAATTTTTGCCCCAGAATTTCTGATTCTCCCTCTTCAAACAGATTCTGTTCTTGGGACCCCGGCTCTCTTTCTCCAGCCCATTTCCCTCCTTGAGGAGCTAGAAAGTTTGGTGCTGTGGTCACACTAAGGATAAACAGTACCTACACTCTTCACCCTTCTTCCCAGCATTGTGAGCATCACATTCAGAGCCTGCAGACCCGAGTGCTAGAGCTACAGCAACAATTAGCTGTAGCTGTGGCTGCTGACCGCAAGAAAGATATCATGATTGAACAACTGGACAAGGTGCCAGGGTACAAAAGGTGGTGGGTCTCTCCCTGGAGGGCATTAAGGAGTAGGAAGTAAGAGGGTAGCTAACCAGTGTTTCTTTGTGCATGCTAAGAGCTGGGTGGGTTTACCTTGGGAAAAGGTGACTGTTGATCTTGCCTCTGTGGGTAAAAAGAGGGCAAAAAAAGTTATTTTGAAATTCCACCTTACTTGCCTTTCCTGAGACCCTGGCCAGAGTGGTGGAAGGCTGGAACCGACATGAGGCTGAGCGGACAGAGGTGCTTCGAGGACTTCAAGAGGAACGCCAGGCAGCAGAACTCACCAGGAGCAAGCAGCAGGAGGTGAGTGACATGGGTCACATGGTACTTGAACCTGGGTCATAGGTCTGTAATGAAAAGAGGCAGAAATACTTCTGGAAGTAAGGTTCCCAACAGATTGACCTCCATCTTTCAGTAGCTGTCCTGACAACTCTTCTTCTCCCTTCACTGTCAGATTTGCATCATTGATGGACTTCCCAGTTTTCCCTACACCATGTAATATTCTCTTTGGCCCCTAAGTCATTCAGTTGTTAACCCTAAAGTTTCAAGTTTACATTGTTAATTATTTTTGAAGTAGAGACATTTTTCTCATTTACTCTGTCTTATGTTTTTCCCTCTTGAAAAGACAGTAACCCGCCTGGAACAAAGCCTTTCTGAGGCCATGGAGGCTCTGAATCGTGAGCAGGAAGGTGTCAGACTACAGCAGCGGGAAAAAGAGGCACTGGTGAGAAGGCAGGGAGCATCAGGAACAAATCACTGGTAATTCCAGTGGAGGCTCCTAATCAATTGTAGAGACTATGGTCTATTAGTAGGTGGTGGGAGTTTATAATTTGGGTAGCACTAAGACAGTGCTGTTCCTTAGATGTGTTCCTTAGAACACTAGTTCTGCTAGTGGCTCTGCTAACAAGTAAGTTTGAGAGTTTGAGAGACTGCAAGTTGTGTTCTTATTAGAGCATTGGAACCATTTGGGTAATTGTCGTTAAAATCTAGACCTCTGGATCCATCCCCAACCAGAGGGGATTTTTCTTTGTGGTGCTGGGAATGGAACTCAGGATGTCTTACATGCTAGGTAAGCACTTTACCACTACGCTGTATCTCCAGCTCACCCATATGTGGGCTTTGTTTATTTGTTTGTTTCTCAAGGAAAACTCTTGTTTAGTTTTGTTTTTTTATCATTTTTACATTTACTCACATGTATATACATTGTTTGGGCCATCTCCCCCCACCCCTTGTTTGTTTTTGAGATAGGGTCTGGCTATGTAGCCCAGGCAGGGCTTGAACTTGAATCCTCCTCTGAACTGCTGCCACCCAGAGGTTTTGATTCAGTAGATATATAGTGGGTTGGGGAACTCATACATTTTGAGAAGTTTCCTAAGTGATTTTGTTCAGCCTGGTTTGGGAACTCTGGTTTAGGGCATAGCCCAAAAGGTATGGGATGAGACTCATTCAGCTTTCCTTGAGCTGAAGTCACCATATGAGTTAGTAGCTGGGTTTGGAACTTGTTGCTCGCATGACACGTGATTGCTACCTGCAGGCTGATACTTACAGTCTTAATAAGCTACATCTGATACTGCTGTTGGTGGAGGCTGCCTGGCTAGCTCCTGGACTGTAGGTGGATTTTCTAGTCTTTGTGGAACTTCTGATGATGACAGTAATAGCTGTTGTGTGTTATGTACTTACTATGTGTCAGAGACTGATAAATGCTCTGCATATCCCTTTTACTTCAGTCCTCACAAGGCAGATCCTGTCGTTATCTCCATTTTACAGATAAGTATGTGTGCCTAATAATACATAGTAAGATGAGCATGATGGGGCATACCTGTAATCTCAGCACTTGGGAGGCTAAAAAGGATAGTCAGCTTGACCTACATGGTGAAACTCTGATGCAAAAACAAAAACATCAAAAACTCCACATATTAAATTAATGATAGAACTAGGATTCAAACTGAGATTTCAACCCAAGTCCACTTACCTGTGGGATGGGGGTTATCTACTCTATTGTAATCCTGTGAGCGTCTCAACTATCTTTTTGTGTGTGTGTGTGGTACTGGGGCTTGAACTCAGGTCCTACACTTGGAGCCACTCCGCCAGCCCTTTTTTGTGAAGGATTTTTTCGAGATAGGGTCTCACGAGCTATTTGCCAGGCTGGCTTTGAACTGCGATCCTCCTGATCTCTGCCTCCAAAGTAGCTAGGATTATAGATGTGAGCTATCATACTTTTAATGGACATAATTCTCAGTGGGCACATTGTATGGGGGGGTGTGGATTGCTGGCCTCTTATTGAGGGCCTACTAAAGATCTTGTTTTGGGGAAATCCAGGGAGTATGGCTCAAGTGGTAGAGCATCTGCCTAGAAATTGCAAGACTCTTAGTTCAGACCCCAGCACCACAAATAAGTAAATACATAAATAAAATAAAAATCTTGGTTTTTCTCCTGGGGCTTTAGGAAGAGGAAAGGCAAGCTCTGACTCTGAGCTTGGAGGTGGAACAACAGCGGTGCCGTGCCCTGCAGGAGGAACGGGATGAGGCTCGGGCTGCACAGTTTAGTGAGCATAGGAAGCTGGAGAACCTTCAGATTGCCCTAGAAGAAGAGCGGCAGGTCTGGGCCCAGCAAGAGCGCCAGCTGAAGGAATGCCACCAGGCACTGCAAGAGGAGGGCCAGGCTCAGCTGGAAAGGGAGAAGGTAAAAGTGGTGGTTGGAAGATTTGGGGAGTGAGAACAGAGGATGGGCAAAATTACTGAATGGAATGGAATGTTAGAAAATGGAATATAAACGGGACAGGAATGAAGAGTAAAGAGCTAAATGTGGGAGACAAAGTCAAGATTGTAGGGCCAGCAGGAAGAGACTGGGTCTGCAAATAGACGGAAGGCTAAAAAGTGAGTGATATTAAACCAAATAAGGAAATAGGACCTATGAGAGGAAAGGGAGAGGAAGTTTGGGGTTTTTTTAGGTTATGGGAGGATGAATTGGGGAATAGAGGTAACCAGGAGGCATATACTTTCATTTGATTTCCTTTTCTTAGGGGAACAGTCAGAAGGAGGCACAGGCAGCTCAGGAGGCCCAGCAGCGGTTGGCACTGGTGCAGTCTGAGGTACGGCGGCTGGAAGGAGAGCTGGACACAGTTCGGAGAGAGAGAGACGCACTGCAGTTGGAAATGAGTTTGGTGCAGGTCAGCAGGCAGAGGGTACTTGAGGGTTTTCTCTAGTTAAGAAAAATAGGTCTAGGCGGGTGCCGGTGGCTCACACCTGTAATCCTAGCTACCCAGGAGGCAGAGATCAGGAGAATTGCAGTTCGAAGCCAGCCTGGGCAAATAGTTCGAAAGACCCTCTCTTGAAAAAAAAAGCATTGGTGGAGTGACCCAAAGTGTAGCAAGCGTGCCTAGCAAGCATGAAGCCCCAGTTCATACTCTACTACCGTGAAAGGTAGTAAAAACCAAACCTGGCCTAAATGTAAAAGTTTATTGTATGCATGTAAAATCGTCAGTGACCTGGAATGTTAACATATAGTAGAAAGGAAGATGAGGTACAGAACTAAAAGAAACATTCCACCTTTATGGGCAGTTGGAGGCAGAGCAGTCAGCTAAGATTTAGCTAGATGAGAATGAGGATAGGGTGGTATCAGGGTTGCCACAAGGAAAAGTTTGTAAAAGGGGAGGGCTGCCCTGGGTGTCAGGTGTAAGACAAAGACTGAAAAATAGTTACCTTAAGACTTAAAATTAAGCTCTTTGCAGACTGGAGGTATGGCTGAAGTGGTAGAGCACCAAGTGTGAAGTCCTGAGTCCAAACTCCAGTTCCACCAAAAAGAAAAAAAAAAGAAAAAAAATTCAGCTCTTTGCAAGTGAAGTAGATATCATATTTGATTGAGTTGAAGTAAGGTTGAGAAAAGGGACACAGCAATTATAGACCAATTCTGCTTATAAAGGAAGGGATGCTGACATTTATTAAATACCTACTGGGTTTCAGGTACTGTACTGGGGGTACTGTATATATTATCTCAGATACATATCACATATAATTATGCTATCTAACATTCTTCTTGGGTTAATATTTCTTTTGTCCAAGGTAATTTTCACTTTTGTGTACATAAAAGATGTATGTCATGGTTCAATAAAAAAAATGAACCTGTGTCACTCCCTATGACAAAATCCTTACTCTTCAACCCTTAGGCAGATGGGAATGTTGGTATTGGGTTTATTTACATTACATCCTCCATCCTCTTCTAAGCCCGAACACAACTGAGCTGACTGCCATCCCTGCTTTCACTCTCAGGCCCGGTGTGAGAGCCAGCGGATCCAGATGGAGTCAGAGCTGGCTGTGCAGCTGGAACAGCAGGTAACCGAGCGGCTGGCACAAGCTCAGGAGAGCAGTCTGAGGCAGGCAACCTCCCTGAGGGAACGTCACAGGTACTTGGGACTTACTGGATGCTGCTGCTTCAGCTGTAACCCTGCCACATACTCAGAGCATGGCTTCCTGTATGCTTTCACTTTTGTCAACCAGGACCTTAGTTTGTCTTGGGAGGGCTATCATCAGATGCTCATGGACAGCCAAATGTCCTGGGGATTTTCCCTCACAGGGAGTAGCCCTTGAACAAAAATCGAATGGTATAGGATTATGAAACTTCCAGCTCCCTTGCTGGGACAGTGCTAAAATGTGACCTGAGCAGTGTCTACAGCTGCTCCATGGAATTGAGCCTCCTTCTCATACCAGACTCACTTTTCTTAACCCTGCTCCGCAACACATTTTTCTGGAAATGCTTCTTAAATCATTTTCCCATAAATCCTTGCTTCAATCTCTGCTGCTGGGAAGCCCATCCTGAGATCCCCAGCTTTGTCCTTACCGCTTCTGTGGTTCTCTGTCTCCCTGTGGCCTGCACATACTGTCTTTTTCTCACTGATCTTGTCTTCTGTCTCCAGACTCAGTCCTCTTTTTCTCACCTGTGCCTCTTAGGAAACAGCTTCAGGAGCTCAATGGACAGCACCAGCAGGAACTGGCCACCCAGTTGGCTCAGTTCAAGGTGGAAATGGCAGAACGAGAGGAAAGGCAGCAGCAAGTGGCTCAGGACTACGAGCTCAGGTACTGGTCCTGGAGGTCTCTTTTAGGCCCAGTCTCTTTCCATGAGTAGAGCTGAGACTCCTTTAGAATTTAGATGCCTGACACTCCATCCTGGCTCCTCTTCTTTTTTTTTTCTTCTTGAACTCAGGGCCTAAACCTTGAGCCACTCCACCAGCCCTTTTTTGTAATGGGTTTTTCTAGATAGGGTCTCACAAACCATTTGCCCAAGCTGGCTTCAAACTGAAAACCTCCTGATCTTTGCCTCCTGAGTAGCTAGGATTACAGGTGTGAGCCATTGGCACCCAGCCATCCTGGCTCTTCTTAACCTCCAAGTCTCTACTTCCTTAAAAGCCCTGAATCACTTCTCCATTTTTCTTTAGATTAGCACGGGAGCAAGCTCGAGTGCGGGACCTACAGAGTGCGAACCAACAGCTGGAGGAGCAGCGGGTGGAGCTGATAGAACGACTCCAAGCCATGTTGCAGGCCCACTGGGATGAGGCCAACCAGCTGCTCAGTACCACGCTCCCTCCTCCTAACCCTCAGGTTGGCATTGCCCCAAAGAACATCTGTCTTGCCAAAATAAACCTTTTCTTCCATGGCCATAGCTCACCCAAACTGGCCCTGTTCCATTGGCTGTTACTCTTCTTGCAGGCCCAAGAGGTAATGAATAATATGTGGTACTAGTTTGGTTGAATGACAGCTGAATTAAATATGAGAATCAAGGTTAAGAGTTGTTGCTATGCCTGTCCTAGAGTAGTGCAGGGAGTCTTACTCCTAACCCTTCTTATATTGCATCTCTTACTTCCTTTTATTATTATTATTATTATTATTTATTTATGTCTGTGTGTGTGTGTTTATGTGTGTGCACGCGCACGCTAGGGTTTACAGGAACTCGCACATGTTAGGCAAAAGCTCTACCATTGAGCTACATCCCTAACCCCTCCTTCTTTTCATGATGAAATTGTTATTATTAGCTAAAATGTCTTTTAGAATACTTAGTAATATGCATATGGTAAAAAAAAATCCAAATTTTAAAAAAAGGTATACAGTGAAAAATAATCTCCATCCTATCCCTGTGCCTCAGTCTCCCAGGTTCCCTCCCTGGCAGCAGCAACTGAGGTGGTGTCTAGAACATCTCCTCTCTTTCCCCTCCCACCCATCCTCGCCCACCCTCACCCACATCCCAAATGGTCACCTTGTATCTACTACTGTATAATCCTTTTTTCAACCAAGTGCTTGTTGATGAATATAATAGTTGTTTCCCATATTTCACACCTAGTCTTAGAATATGTGTCATTAGAATATGTGTCATTAGAATATGTGTCATTAGAATATGTGTCATTAGAATATGTGTCATTAGAATATGACTGTGGAGGATGTGGCTCAAGTGGTAGAGCACCTGCTTAGCAAGTAGGAGTCCCTGAGTTCAATCCCTAGAGCCACCAAAAGATAAGTACATGTTTGTGTAAGTGTATCTATAAAATTTCTAGAAATAGAATTAGAAGATGAAAAAGCAGTTTAAAATGTGATAGAAATTGGATAAATGTTACCCAATCTCCTTTTAAGGAAGTTCTAATAGTTTATCTTATTTAAATGTCTGTACCACGTCTTGTAGAGAGCAAGAGAACACACTGGATTTTGATCCTTTTTTTCTGTCTCTCCTGGCCAGGTTCCTCTGGCTGAGCCCTCCAGCCCTGGGCCTCCAGAGCCAGAGAAGGGGGAGAGGAGGTCGTGGACTGTGCCTCCTGTGGCCGTGGCTCTGAAACCTGTGCTGCAGCAGAGCCGGGAAACGAGAGATGAGCTACCTGGCGTGCCTCCTGTCCTCTGCAGCCCTTCCCCTGATCTTAGCCTCCTGCTGGGACCCTCTTTCCACAGCCAGAACTCCTTCCAGCCTCTGGAGCCCAAACCTGATCTTGCTTCATCCACAGGTAATCAAGGGCAGAAATCACTGGGGATTCCCTTACATGCACGATTACCTAGTTTCCTTTCCAATGGGACTTTAGTATTTGGTTTCTCAAATGTCTTAGTAATCTTGAATTCAAGAATTTGTGTGAACCACTCATGTTAATTCGAAAGAAGGGAAGGAGATCTTGTAGAAATGTGATGTAGGTAGGGTCAGGAACAGCAGCAACTGTCCCTTCTCTCTTTGGGCTCTCAGTTCTGCCTCACCCTGCACATTTGCTGTTTTCCCTTGCTAGACCAGCATTCTCTCTCATTTAAGGTTCTTGTTCCTTATAACCTTGTTTTATACATGATTTGACCAGCCATGACACTAGCTCTAGTCAAGAATCTAGAAATTTAGTGTTTCTTGGGTCCAGCTTACAGAGGCCATGTGATGGGCTGACTGGTAAGTGACCTCCCCTGGTTTAGTCAGCTGTGACTTGGTGGATGTAGGTGTTCTGTGTGGCACAAACATGGCACACAGGAAAAATTCAGAATGAAGAGTAAATAGTACTATAGTTTAAATATTAAAATTGTATAACAATAATAATAGGATTGGGAGTATGTTCTGGTGAAGTGGAAGACATGTCTGTTAATCATTTCTGTTCTTCAAAGGTTTATGGTGGCATTTACTTGTTTAGAGTCTGAGCACCGCAGCTTTCTTCTTCTTTCTACACTTGTCTTAGAATTAAGTTGTGCCATCTCACAGGTGCCTCCAGCCCCTCCCTCTCTCGCTCTTGGCTCAAGTGGTAGAGCACTTGCTTAGCAAGTTCAAAGCCCTGAGTTCAAACTCTAGTACTGAAAAAATAAAAAATATCTCTTATATTTAATAATGCCTTTTCTTTTGGGCATTTGGTGAGTTGATTTGTGGAGCTACTGCTAACCTTACAATATACATGCACCCCAGAAACACCTATTTCACCTTATAGGAGGAGTCTTCTCTGCACTTGGAGCCTTTGATGCTGATCACAGAGCAGAACGACCTTTCCCTGAAGAAGACCATGGATCTGATGGGGATGGCTTCCTAAAGCCAAGGCTGCCACCTCCTTCTCAGCTTGAGGGCCTTAAGAATTTTTTGCAGCAGGTAAGAGAGATTCCACCCAGACCACCATTTTTCTTGTTCCCTTTTTCATTTCCTCTTCCCACTGTTTCCTCTGTATTGGGGCCCAATCCAAGACTCCGGCTTCTTTCTGTTTTGGTTTTAGTTTTGCTTAGTTTTGTTTGCAGTACTGGGGATTAAATTCAGGGCCTCTCACTTCCTATGCAAGTGCTCTATTACTTGAGCTGCACCTCAGCCCTCTTTGTTTTGTTTTGAGACAGGGTCTCATTATGCTGCCCAGGCTGGCCTCAAACTCACATTCCTCTTACCTCAGTCTCCCAAGAGCTGGCATTCATCACCACATCATGCTGGCTTCCTTCCCTTTTTAGAACCAATTCTTTCTCCCAGCTTCACACTCAGCGAAGCTGAGTGCATAGTACATAGTTCATATTACATAGGTCTCCTCTGAACTTAGACCACCAGCCCTAGCCCTTGCTTCAGCAGCCTCTGCTGCCCTCAATACCCAATCCCTTAGGGAACCTTACTGTCTTGTTTCTGCAGCTGCTGGAGACAGTACCCCCAAGCAATGAGAACTCCTCTATTGACCTGTTGCCCCCTAAGTCTGGTGAGTTCCAATCTGAAAAAGGTCCTGGTGGGCCTGGAAGAGGTAGGAGTTAGTGATCTAGCATAAATTTTTAGGATCTGCTAAGAGGTAGGATTCCTTTGCTGTTTGCCTATTCTTTATTCTTTTTTGCGATAAAATCAAATCATTTAATTTTAACAACTGACATACTTTATATGTCTTATCTTGTAAACAAGTCCAAATTAGAAACAAGGTAACAGCAATAGTCTGTAGAGAGATTATGCTTACTTCATCTGAATCTGCATTCCATTTCTAAGTCAATTCATCTTTATACCTGGCACTGTTAAATACAATTACTTCTGGTACTTTGCAATATGAGAATGGTAACAGCTAAGTTAAGATAACTAAATGAAAAAAACACTCATATTTAAATGACCAGAGAACTTTGCTATCTAATGCATTATAATCTTTGGAAATGACATACCTGTTTTTTTATATCTTTTTATGTCATAGTAATGATGACATAGCAAGATTTTGTTGGGGGTGGAGATTTTGTTTGTCCCATTTTTTATTTTTTGATCTCTTTCTTTTGGCTAGGTCCTCGGACTATGCCTTCTTGGGAGGAAGCTCCTCAAGTGCCACGACTTCCACCCCCTGTACATAAAACTAAAGTTCCCTTAGCCGTGGCATCTGGTCTCTTCCGGGCCCATGAGCTTTCTTCTTACCATTCACAAGGAAGTGGCCCAAGTTCTGGCTCCCCAGAGAGAGGTAAGGACGTTGGTTTACTAGGGAAAGAGGAAAAGAAGAGCTTAAGGTCTTCTGGATTCTTAGAGAGGGAGGATGAGGGGTGGGAGGGGGTCCCTAGGGCCATGACCCTCATCCACACATCTCTCAGGTGCAGATGGGCCCAGCTCCCCAAGGCAGCTGATGGAGGTGTCTCAGCTGTTACGATTGTACCAGGCCCGGGGCTGGGGTGCTTTGCCTGCTGAGGACCTGCTGCTGTACCTGAAGAGGCTGGAACACAGCGGGTATAAAGTCTGGGAGGGAGGAGAAGGATTCAGAGGGTGGGAACTGGGGCAGAGTGGCTCGTGGCTGTTGTTCATTGTGTAGACTCTTTTGTCAGTCTCTGGCGAGGAAAGTGCTTCTCTCACTGCTCCCATCCCTCTTTTTTTCTCCATTTCTACTGCTTTTCTTCTCTCTCAGTCTCTCTCTGTCTCTGTCTCTCTCACTTTTTTTTAATAACTTTTTTATTAGGATATACTAATTATGGGAGGGATTCAGTGACAATTCTGATTAGACTTATATTGAACATTATTTAACATTACTTACATTGTCCCCATTGTCTCTCCCCCTCCCCCACTTAAAGCAACTGTAAGAGGTTTCTTAGTTCTGTTTCATACAGGCCTATGAAGTCCATCTACCATAGACTCTCACCTTAATCTCCTTCCTTCACCCTCCCCCCTCCCTGTTATACCACCCTCCCTACATATAACACTATATCTATTTTACAGTCTCTTGGCTCACTCTTGCTCTTTTTAATTTTTTTGGTGGTATCTGAGTTTGAACTCAGCACTTCATGCTTGCTAGACAGGGGCTTTACTACTTGAGCCCTGCCCCCTGCTTTTATAAAAACAAAAACAAACAAAAAACCCTCTATGTCTCTGTGCCCTAGTTTTTTTCCTCTCTTTACCTCAAAGCTCAAAACTCAGAATCCTAGGATTTGAGCTTATGTAGTACAAGTCATTTGTTTCCACCAACACCTCCTTCCATTTGATCGTCGGTCTCATTGACTTTGTCCTTATTCTTATAATTCAACTTTTCTCTTTCTTTTTCTTTTTTTTTTTTTTTTTTTTGGTGATACTGGGGTTTGAACTCAGGGCTTCTCTACTGCTTGAGCAACGCCTCCAGCCAAGTTTGTTCTTATTCTTAAGAGACAGAATTAAGGAGCATTTTTTCCAGTGTTGGGTTGATTTGTGTTGCAGAACTGATGGCCGAGGGGAGCCTGTCCCCAGAAGGAATACAGACTCCCGCTTGGGTGAGATCCCCCGGAAAGAGGTGAGGGAAAGTCAGGCAGGGACCAGGGGAGAATGAGGCTGTCCTTGCACAGTTCCATTACTGCTCCACACTCCCTGGCTGGTTCCATTACTCCACTGCCTGGCCCCTGCAGTCCCGGTTCCCACTTGCATGGACTTTTCTTTCCCCTGTGGGGACTAGTTCTTTCCCTCTCCATGCATTGTGCCTTTTGCCCATTGGGTGGGGAGATGAAGAGTATATGATGCTGACTTCTTCTTCTCTTTTCCTCAACTCTCAGATCCCCTCCCAGGCTGTCTGTCGCCGCCTTGCTACAGCTCCTAAGACTGAAAAACCTCCTGCACGGAAGAAAAGTGGGCACCCTGCCCCTTCTAGCATGAGGAGTCGTGGTGGAGTCTGGAGATAAGCCCTTGCCCTTTCTCTGCAGCTTTGTTCTCCTCTTCCTCTTCTGGTTTTTATTTTAATAAATGACCAGTAGTCTGTGTTAGAGTCTCTGACTCAAAGGAATTTGAGAAATGGAGACTGTAGGAAACTACTTTGTAAAGAAACTTCCTAGTGTTTCAGCATGTTTTTCATATGTTATGTGTTTGTGTTATCTCCTGTGGGAAAGGACATGAATGCTTTGAAAGAAGACTGGACTGTCACTTGGATGGAAGTTAAGTGAGCAAAGGTTCAGTGTTTGCAGAGTAAAACCTACAGAGCGATGAAGTGGTGGTAGTGGAATTATGAGTAACTCTTATTTTCTTTTTTATACATTTTTGTATTTTCTAAAATAAGTACATGTTACTTTAATAATCAGAAAAAAACTTTTAATAAAATAGTAAGTTATTGTGTAAAAGTTTGAGCAAAAATTCAGTTTTTGGGGAGTTTTGTCTTCTTGATGGTGCTGAGGTTTGAACTGAGGACCCCGAGCTTGCTAGGCAAGCACTTTACCACTTGAGCCTGCCTTCAGCTGTTTTTGATTTTGTTTGGTTTTTTTTTTGTTTTGGTGGGACTGGGGTTTGAACTCAGACTTCACATTCGCTAAGCAGGTGCTGTACTGCTGAGCCACACCTCTAGTCCATTTCACTCTGGCTAATTTTAGAGATGGGGTCTCAGGAACTATTTGCCCTGGCTGGCCTCAAACTTCCATCTTCCTGATCTCAGCCTCCCAAATAGCTAGGATTACAGGTGTGAATCACTGGCTTTTAGTTCTTTTTTAGATAGGGTATTGCACTTTTGCCTGGAGCCAGCCTTGGACTATGAACCTCCTACCTCGGCTTCCTTCCTACCTGGAATTACAGGAATGAACTACCTGGCTTATTATGTGAGAAAGGGTCTTGCTAACTTTTTACCCTGACTGGCCTCAAACCATGATCCTCCTATCTCTGCCTCCCAACTAGCTGAGATTACAGGTGTGAGCCATTGTGCCCAGCCAAGATTTGTTTTTTTAGCACGGATAATTCTATCATGTGCACTGGTGGGATTCAGATTGGCAGATTCTGCTTCAGCCAGTACATCCATAGCTGTAAATGGCTTTAAAGCATGCAAAGATCAGAGTGCTGGCAAAAAAAAAGTTTCCCAAAACAAAATGAACAGAGAAAAACAGGAAAGAAAATGATGTCTGCATGACTCTGAAGCTCCAACTTCAAGGTTCAAACACTGGGGGTGTAGGAGATCTGGGCATGGAACCTGTTAGAGTGAAGGCTAAGCTATTCTAACAAACCTAGTGCAAAAGGGACATATGGACATCGTTTGTCCCCTGATTATGGTCCAGAGTGTAACCCCCTCGTGGGGAGGTCCTGCTCCACTTAGGCCTGAAGGGTCTCTGTCTCCGTCCATCTTGTTGCCTTGCAATGTCATTCATGCAGTTGAAGCAAGGTCACTGCCACTCCCTGCTGGCAAGCAGGAAAAACCTATGTGTATCATTGAAAGCCCTTTCCTAGAAAGGCCACATGACAATTTTTCTCATATTACACTGACAAGACCTTGGCCACCTGGCCACGTCTTATTGCAAAAGTCTCAGAAGTGCAGCCTACCTGGGCTGCCATGTCTGCAGCTATAACTTATTTTGTAAGAACAATGGAAGAAGGAGTGGATCTTGGTGGACAGCTAGTAGCCTGCCCTGTAGAGGGTTGGGATCTTGCTTAGACTAACTAAGTATTGCTAAAACAATCCATGCCAGTGATGTAGTGACTAACTCTACAGCTAATGAAAAAAACATATTGCACATGCAAATTAGTCTAAGGTACAGTGTTGAACTAACTAGCCCCTACAAAAGAGTTAATGCAGGAAAAAGAAAAAAACTTGGGTTCAAACCAGTCTTATCAAGAAAAGAAAGATGGGATGAAAAAGAAGCAGTCATAGAACAAGAGTTTGGGGTTAAACAAACAAATACAACAAAGCAGAATAGACTCTACTGGCAACTATATGTTGCTTAGAATAAAAATTTCTGGAAATCTCCAAATGTGGAAAAGGGAGAAAATGTATAAATTATGAGAAAGACAGAAGAAAAAGAATAGTTCTAGAAGAACAAATATCTAGTAATGATAAATAATAGTAAATTGATTCTGAAAATATGGTTTGAATAGATAATCCAAAGGACTTTCCTGCTAAATTACAACTATATGCTATTGTCATTAAGACAAAGACTTGGTGGGCACCAGTGGCTCACACCTGTAATCCTAGCTACTCAGGAGGCAGAGATCAGGAGGTTCGCAGTCGAAGCCAGCCCTGGGAAGTAGTTCTCGAGATCCTATCTTGATAAAACCCAACACAAAAAGGGGCTGGTGGGGTGGCTCAAGGTGTAGGCCCTGAGTTCAAACTCCAGTACTGCACATGATGATAATAATAGCAATAATAATGCAGCTAAACATACTTATATGGGAAGTTTTGATTTCCGTAGTGTAGATTCCTCTGAGTGGGATTACTGAACATTTTAGGATCCTTAATACATAATATTAAGCTGTTTTTCAAAATGACCACAGCAATTTACACTTTCATCAGATGTGTAATAGAAGTACAATATAATGCCCATCATGGACACCATGGAGTATCATTTCCCAGAATGCCTTGGTCCCAATTTGTTTGAAATGAACTTACAGACAGCAGCTGGTGTGTCCGAGTCACCCAGACAGGTGGCCTTCAGTGCATAGATTTGTCAAGTGTCCCCCGAGTTGTTATTGGAGGCTTTGTCAGTCATGGCAACAGATAAGTAATACAAAACCTGGCCCACACCGTCATGAACAAGAAGGACACAGAAATGGGGTGGGCTCCAGGTAAGGCCATTGACACAATGAAGTCATGAAGGTATAGTGACCACAGGGGCTCCAGGACTTTGTTATTCCTAAAGAAACTCACTTCTTCTTTCCCCTATTAAAGTAGCTGAATAATTTCCTACCTTTGGTTTTTGAGCTGAGCCACTTTTCATGTGAGTTCCCACACATAAGTGAAGAAGTTCCATCATTTCTTGCTAATCTCTCCGTTGTCAGTTTTGATCACAGACTCACAGAAAAGCACCTAAGAGGGTGGAGTTTTCCTTTTTCTTTGTGTTTTAAATTTTTTTTTTTTTTTTTTACATTTTCCTTTTTGATGCAAGCAATAATTTGAGTCTTCTTGATGTTTTAGGTAGAATTTGGGGATCCTGGCTCCAAAAGGAAGATTCAAGTCTTAGCCCACTGAAGTCAGACAGTTTCTATTAAACTGCCTCGTGAGCTAAAACCCAAGAAAGGATTCACAAAGCAGGCCTGGGGTTCAGAGAGCCCCCAAACCAGCTCAACCCAGATCTCAGTTCTAGCGTTAGAAAAGGACACTGGTGGAAAACATTTGCATGTGTACCTCAGGTTTCCAAGGCCACTGACAGTATTAGATCTCCTTTTTCCTGATTTTCTCCTATGTTTATGCAGCTTTGTTTTCTATATACTTTGACTCAAGCTTGTGCATACTGTTTTATACTTTAACTTATATTATTTATTAAATATAAATTTATATTGTGATTCTGAACATTTATTTCATGGCATTAAATGTTCTCATATAGGGCTGATGGAGCGGCTCAAGTGGCCTAGCAAGCATGAGGCCCTGACTTCAAACCTCAGTACTGCCAAAAATAAAAACAAAATGTTCTCATATACCAGTTTTGGTTTTTTTTTGGCAGTGTGGGGATCCAACTCAGGACCTTGCATACACTAGGCAAATAACTACCACTGAGTCACATCCGCAACCCAAGTGCTTAAATCTTTGTCCTGATGAATTTTTACATATGTGAATACCCAAGTAGCTCCTGTCTAAACCAAAATAGGATATTTCCATTTCTAGCACCCAGAAAGCTGTCTGGTGCTTTTTCCCAGTTAAAGGTCACACCCTTCCCAGATAACCAACCACTATTACCATCACCAATGAATATTTTCATCTGTTCTTGAATTTCATTTAAATAGAATCATCAGTATGTACTCTTCTTTTCTTTTGTTTTTTTAGTATGTACTCTTTTGTGTCTGACTTGTCACAATACAACATCTGTGTGATTCATCCATATTGGTAATTCCCTGTTCTTTTTAGCAGTATTCTATTGGTAATATACCAAAACGATATGATCTCCTTTAATAGACATTTGAGTTGTCTCCAGCTTGGGAATATTCTAAATAAAGCTACAATAAACATTCTTGCACAGGTTTTTGGTGAACCTGTACCCTTAGTTTCTTTTTTCTATTGGGTATTTCCCTAGACATGAAATTGCTAGTGGATCTAGGCTTAGCTTTAGCAAGCCTAAATTATTTTCCAAATTGTTTTGGAAAATTGTTTTCCAAAGTAGTTGAACTAAGTTATACACCTCCTGTAACTTTTGCTTTAGCACTGACTCCTTACTTTGGTCCACAAATTAACTAAAAGCAGGAAAAAAGCTTGGCATCCCTGCCTCCATTTTTTATCTGTCTGGGTCTAAGTCAATCACTTTGTGATTATATTAGAATCCAGGAAGGACAGGATGAGTAACATCTTTATGATGAGGGACTGAAACAACCCCTAAGCAACAGTGCACCTTGGCAGGACAGACCATCCCCAAATCAGGGCAATCACCTGGAGCTGGAGTAATCGCCAGCACCCTGGAGCAGGAGTGATCATCTCATGGGAGCCAGATTGTTCCCCTCAAGTGATGATGGCCATAAAAACTTCTCCTGAACCCCTTGCAGAATCAGAACCCAACCAGGCCACACCTGTGACTGGGGCTGCTTCGTAATATGCATTCCTTTCTCCCCTTTCCCAGCTCTTCCTCTATTTAAACCTATAGTTCATGTCTGTACTCGAAGGTGGCTGAGGATGAACTGAAGTGCTGTCTTCCCGTGGTATGGCTGTGCCATGTAATAAACCTCCTTTCTCTGCCCTTCACCATGCCTCTTTATTTGTCATACAGGGCGAGTGGACGACCTGGAATATGGAATCCCAGGAGCTTGGGCCTGGACCTAAGACTCTTGTAGCACTTCTAGTAGTGGGTGAGGGC